GCATTTATGGATCACCTGTGCGTAGCAATTGAATTTGGTGGCGAGATTGATGAATGTTTAATTAATTAGAACAACTCTCCTTAGGTTGAAAATTAATTTGTTGAATTGAGAATTTTATTGAGAAGCTTTAAACGAAGCATTCTTTAATATTGAATTAATTAACGAACATCGAGTAATATAGAGGAGAATTCAAAATTTTAAGTTAACGAATACGAAATATTTCTGAACTCATTACCTTTTTGTAATGATAGATGAGGATTTGGTACAAAAATATTCTTCGAATATCTTATAGATGAGAATTTATTATAACAAGTAGGGGGTGCTAGGACCATTTCCAACTTATTTCTTCATTCTCTTTTCTCATTACCCTGTCTCTATCCTTCTTATTTGTCGCGTATGGCCTCACAATAATGTTATTAACTAGTAGGATCCTATCCTCATTTTCCCTTTGAAGGAACGAAAAAGACATTTCCCTTTGTCTTTTCTAGAAATATCAATTACTTGATATATTACGGGCGAAGCTAGTGTATTATTTATGGGTGCGTACGAATTCAATAACTATTGATTAGATCTTATATTTGTATTAAAAAATTTATTAATATGCATAAATATTTAATTATGAATTCAGCTATTACAATGAGCTATGAATTAATTTTGATGGCAACTTCAGAAATAAGTTTCAGATCAAGGCTTTGCAAACGTTTGTAGTCACCTTTTAAAACTTCAAATACATCTTTAAGAATATTGTGTTAGTTGAAATTATTAAATATAGAGCATCCTAAATAACGACGATAGTCAATAGCAGAAGATGAAGACAGTGTGACAACATAGTTATCAGCTGACAATCTGTGCTCTACATCTGACTTAGCTTCATACCATATGAATGCATAATCGCTGTAAGAGACAAAATAAAAAGCTAGTATATAAAGGTAGAAAGAGGAGTTAATACCCTAAAATCTTCCTAAACTATTATACTTTTATCAGTTTTCTATTTAAATTATTTGATGTCCCCAAAAATCCCTTGAATTATATATATTGCCCTTCTTATTAAAACTTCCTCATTGCATTCTTAGAGATGCGTCTAATACACGCTCCTAATCATCTGAAAACGTGCCATCTGACACTCAATGTGGCTATTTAACTCAGCCTAAAATCCCATTAAACTATAATTTTTTTATCAGTTATCTACTTAAACTGTCTGGTATTCCTAAAACCCCCTGAACTATATTGTCCTATATATTAAAACCCCATATTGAATTCTTAGAAGTGCGTCTAACTATATTAACCTATTGTTTGTACTAAGTTATTTTTGTAGTTTATTCACAATGTATTGCTCTCGGATGACTAACTAATTGTAGGACTTTTAGGTAAAATAGTATTCAATGTAATATGTTAATTTTAGGTTTAATTATGATTGTGCTTTATGCTATAGACTCCAGTTGAATAAGTCTTTATTTATATTCACTTTGCAGTATAATAAAAAATAAATGAAGGAATATAGTGCTGCATTTATTAAAAATCATCTTATATCACATAAACAAAATTGCATAAAATAAAATTTCTCAAATAAAAAATCAATCAGCCAGAACTACATTCTCTAATTCTAAATTACGTAAACAAGGTTCAACAAATTCAACTTTATTATCTACAAGGTGTTGGATTTAATAAGAAGATTTAAATGAGTGTTCTTTCAACAATATGTATATGATATGAAAGAAGATTAAAACAAGAAAGAGAATAAATCATTTTACAGGAAACAAAAGAGGGAGAAAATGTTACACCTCACACCTTACCACACATGTAAAGTTGAAGATTAACGAGATTTTGGCGCAATCAATTGGTCGATGGCGCGTTATGGGGACAAAGGTGTGATACTGCTTTGCCAGAATTGCGCCAGCTGTCCCACCGGACACAGTGGTCGGGGCGGGGCGACCAGTTTGACACTTGAGTCGGTGGAGTTTCTAGACTTGGTATAAAAAGTCAGTATAGCTTTTTCTCTTATTATTCTAGAGGATATCGCCAGCTTTAAGCTCTCCTTAAAAGGCTAAAACGCTCCCATATTATCTAGGATCTCCTAAACGATTGAAGGCTAGAATCAAAGGCATAGTTGGTGGAAAATTAAAGTGAAGATCTCGTGATCATTTTGCATCATCCTTCTTTGCGCTATGCCAATTTCCGAGGTTCTTTGGAAATAGAAAATCATTGTCATAGGAAGTGTAAAAACTCAGGAAGCGTAGCTAGTTTTTTAAAAAAGTATGCAACGCAACTTTCTTTCATTCGCATGTCTTGATATAAGCGTTTTCTTCTGGAAAATCCTCTTGTTACAAGACTGATAGGTTCTAAGCTTTTGTTGATACTCATGTTCTTATTCATTCGTCACTGGTAGTACTTTCTTTTAAGTTGGTGGTCTTTTCGGATGGTATCGTGATATAAAATGTAGTCCATTCTAAGTATAATCTTGAAATATGTGGAAGTTAAACTTGCATTGCATTTTTATACACATATTTACCTATTTACATTATCGAGTCCTTGTGTGGCCGGGTACGGAATAATGTAATATGAGGCATTATCTAGCCTTTGTGTGGCTGGGTAAGGAATGACGTAGTACGAGGCACTACTGAGTCTTGTGTGGCCGAGTACAAGATAATGGGTTACCAAAGCCTCCCGAGGCCAGGTACGAGGTGATGAACATGTAGAATCTTATAGAGCCCTCCACGAGGCCAGGTATGATATGGATAACATGCCCCAAATAGTGACTTTATTTTATAAGAGTTGCATGCATTTATGATTCGAGGCTACCACAGTGTACGTCCTCGGTGGCTTGTCTTCAGTATTCAGGTTCAAGTTGTGTACTCATAGCTCTTATGTTATTTCTTTGGTTTACATGTACATTATCATCTCTGCATACTCAATACCTCTTTCGCAATGACGCCTCTTTTCTTTGGGCACTATGTTATGTCCACAGGTATAGATAGATACGGTGACATCCCTCCCGGTAGGGTACTCGTTTCAGCGGTTAGTTGTTGCACTCTACTTCTTCGGAGTAGCTGTACAGAAGTTGATAGGTACCAAAGTGTATGTTTCCACTGTTACTGGGTATAGTGGGGCCCTGTCCTGACAAAGTTGTATATTAAGGTACTCTTAGAGACTTATAGACCAATAGTATTCGGCCAATATGTGAATATGGTTATGACTCTGTAACAACGGATGTACGTATATGTATACATTTTCAACGGTAAGGTTTCTTCCACGGTTAATTATGAATATTTATTAATCTTGATATCATAATGGTAGGCTTAGTCGGCCCAGGTTATAATAAGAGGTGTAAGTATGGACGTTGGTTCGCATGAGCCTTCGGATGTCGTATGCCGATTTCACCTCCCGAGGTCGTGGTGCGGCAAAAAAAAATCAGAGGGAACCCATACGGAGAACTAAAAAAAAAAGATGATGAAGAATGTGAAAAATAAAAAATAAAGGTGAACAAATGAGGAAGAATGGTGAAAAAATAAGGAAGAAAGGTAGATATAAAGAAAATAAGGAAAATATTTGTGTATAAAAAATATAGTTGAAATAGGGTTAGGCTAATTAGCCATTACATAAGGTCAGATAGGACATTTTGGTGGGTTTTTTCAGCTGTCACGCGCTCTCAAACGAGTTATTACACATGTTATGCTAGGTAAGCAACGAGGGGTTTAAATATGAAGGGCAATAAAGTTCAGGAGAATTTTTGAGCAGAGGTAGACCTACGTAGGGAGGTGGGGGATCACCGGAACCCGTTAACCTTTACAAAATACTGTATATATATTTTTTATATCTGTATGTATAAACAATGAGTACCCCTTAAATATTTTAAGTGTGCCCCAAAACAGAAAAGCTGGACAAAAGCATTGGTTAATTATAATGCTCCAAGTGCCTTCACTTCCTTGATGGCCCAAGTTTGAATCATGTCTCCTACAACTTATATGATTCTATTTTACTTCTACTTTTTTTGAATTCAATGATTGTTTAATTACTTAGTAGTCAACCCATTTTTTAAATAATCTTTGCTGAATTCAAGTATAGTTTGATACTTCTACATAATAGTACACTTAATATTTAATTAGCCTTAATCTTTTTAAAATTTTCGGCTCATTCAAAAGTCTGAATAGTCATTAGCGTCCCCCTCCGGCCTCCACAAATAGAGTAGCAAACTCTTTTGCCTCCCTTCAATTTAGTAAATTCTTTTTCAGTTCACTGCATCTCTTCTAAATTCGATAGTCCTATTAGGTGACGACAACGACGACTGAATTTGAGGCTCTTCTTCTTTGATTTTATTTGAGTCAGTTTTTTTTCTTTTGAAAATATTACCTTAGCAAAGTAATGTGCTACAAACTTTTTCTTTTCCAAAAGATTCTTAGAGCTAGAAAGATATTATAAATATTTGCCTTTTCGACGACGACAACAACAACAACAACAACAACAAACGCAGTATAATCCCACATAGTGGAAATGATAGTGTGTACGCAACTTTTGCCCCTACCTTTTGGAGATAGAGAGGTTGTTTCCAATTGACCCTCGACTCTATTGAGAATTAAGCTAGTTAAGTGAGGGCATTTTAGTCAATACACACACACATGTGAGAAGCATGCAATAGTCAGTTAATTTTGTTAAATACTATTTTGAGTCTTGTAACAGAGCTTAACCAAAAATGAAATAAAATTCTTCTTCTTCCTTCCTCTTCTTCTTCTCTGAATTCTCTAGAATCTAAGGTTCAAACTTTACATGCAATTCAAATTCTATCATGGTATCAGAGCGGGTTATTGTAATCGAGTTGAAATTCTACAAGATCTGAACATCGAACACTGATTAGAAGCTTCAATTTCATCAGTCATGGCAAAAATGGGAAGTCTTCAAATTGATCACAATCATCCTTTGTTTTTAGCAGCTACAGATACGCCTGGAGTTACTCTGCACGATATCAAGCTCACCGGACCTAAAACTATGGTTTGTGGAGTAGATCGATGCGGATGGCACTTTTGGTGAAAAACAAGCTGGGTTTCATAGAAGGAACTTGCTTGAAAAGCTCTTACAAAGGAGAATTGGCGAATCAATGGGAAAGATGTAACGCGATTGTGCTTTCATGGATAGGACGTACAGTATCTACAGAGTTACAGCCCAGTATCATTTATGCTTCGTATGCAAAAACAGTGTGGAACGAGTTCAAAGAGAGGTTTGATAAATCTAATCTCACTCGTTTTTACCTTTTGTGGATACAAATTGGATCATTAAAGCAAGGTACTGATTCTGTAACATCATATTATACGAAAATGAAAGATCTCTGGGATGAAATTGACCTACTGGTTCCAGCGCCTGGTTGTGATTGTGAAGAAACTAGGCCTTTCATTGAGCAATTTAAGAATTTGCGTTTGTTACAGTTCCTAGTTGGGATTAATGAAAGCTATAGTCAGGTGAGAAGTCAGATATTGCTTAAGACATCAGTATTGAATGTAAATCAGGCTTATGCTTTGGTCATTCAAGAAGAAAGCCAACGTGAACTAAGTGTGCTTGAGGTAAGTAGGGAACCTTTAACTATGATGGCAGGACAGAATCAAGGATATAAGAATAAGAAGATTTGGATTGTTTGTGAACACTATGGATATAAAGGACACCTCAAGGTAAATTGCTACAAAATTATAGGATATCCTCCTGACTTCAAGAGCAAGAAGAAACAACAAGAACAAGGAAACAGAGCTTATGCTAACATGATGACAGAAGAAACTACAAGCTCTTCTCAAGGCCAACAGGTGGGACAACTGTTCACTGAAGGTCAATACAAGCAGATACTGGAGCTTCTGAACAAAACACTTGCAGGTGATTGTCATACACTAATGGCAGGTATAACCACATTGTTGTCTGATGCATCTTTGTGTGAATGGGTAGTAGATACAGGAGCATCTCACCATATCGCATGTCATAAAGACACCTTATCTAATATAGAGAACATTGAGCAACACAGGAATCATAAAGTGCAGGTTCCAATAGGTAGCAAATCTTCAGTAACACACAAAGGAAGTACTTCTATACTACAGGGATATGAATAAAGGATGTGTTATATGTTCCAGATTTTAAGTTCAATCTATTGTTAGTCTCCAAATTGACCAAGGAGCTACTGTGTTGTGCTCTATTCTTCCCTGACTTTTGTGTATTGCAGGGTCTTTACAATGGGAAGGTGATGGGGATTGGTAGAGAGAACTATGGACTTTATATTCTCAAATGGAGAGACAAGCCTGTAGCAGCATTGGCTACCAAGGACACTGATGAGTGCAGTCTTTGGCATATGAGATTAGGTGTCACGACCCGGATTTTCCTCCCTCGGGAGTCGTGATGGCGCCTACTCGTGAAAGCAAGGCAAGCTAATTACTATGATTTTTAACACAATAGCAATCAACCCAAATAGATATAAACAATAACTAAAACTAAGCAGATATAAAACGCGGAAGTGTTATAACAAAATCAATACTCCAGTACATGTCTACCCAAGAATCTGGTGTTACAATTTCACGAACATCTACGAATGTCAACAAACACTGGTCTAGAAAGAAAAGTACAAATGTTCTCAAAATGAAAAGAGACAGTATATCAAAACATAAGGAAGGGGACTCCGGGGTCTGCGAACGCCGGATCTACCTCGGGTCTCCTATGGGCTGAAGGCAACAACCCTCACAAGGTCCAGCACCAAAATCTGCACAGAAAGTGCAGAGTGCAGAATCAGTACAACCGACCCCATGTACTGGTAAGTGTCGAGCCTTACCTCGGCGAAGTGATGACGAGGCTAGGACACGACAACCATATAAACCTGTGCAGTTAAATCATATACAACGGATAATAAAAACAGGAAATAATAGATAAAGAGGGGAAGGGAAGCGTGTTGCGGGGAATATCAACTACTTAATAGAAAATTCAGTAGATAAGCATAAAGAACACCATAATGATATCAACAGGAATAAGGAAAACAGTAACACGTGCACGGCATCACCCTTCGTGCTTTTACTCTCATCCTCACCATAAGAATCAACAGAATCGGCACGGCATCACCCTTCGTGCATTAACTCTCATAATCATGGCACGGCATCACCCTTCGTGCATTAACTCTCACAATATTGGCACGGCATCACCCTTCGTAATTTTACTCTCATAATCATGGCACGACATCACCCTTCGTGCATTAAAAGTCACAATATTGGCGCGACATCACCCTTCGTGCTTTAACACTCACTCACAATATCATGCATGACATCACCCTTCGTGCTTTACACTCTTCCTCACTCAAACAATAGAAACAATACGCCCCAGCAAGGGAATCAACAATATAAACAAGGGAAAAGGTCCAAAATTGTCCCTCTACTATGGTATATAGTTTAAGTTTGTCCCCCGTTATACTTTTCGTTCAGATCCACCCCTACCGTTAACAAACTTTTTAGAATTTCCCTTAACCCTAACGTCCCTCCACCATGGCACCCAATCCCTCTATTAATTTGTCCATGTTAGCTGCCAAGTCAGCAGGTCCCACACACTAAAAGTCACAGAAAAATATTTTCTACTCTTTTTTTTCTATCTTTCACTTTTCCCCCTCTTTTCACGTTTCTTGTTCTTCTTCGGCGACCAAAATTCTCAAAGGAAAGCCATCTCTATTCCTAATATCTCAAAAACCAGATCTGATTTCACGGAAAGCCATCTAAAGTTTTGAGTTATTAAATGGATCTTTGAAGTTTTATTGAGGGAAAAATGTGGGTGTAGCAAGATTCAATCGTTATTTGTTTCTGTGAAACTGAATTGACAAAGAATCTGGAAAAAAAATCAAGTTTACTTGACATTTAGTTCTTCGACATTTTCACTATATCAGTTTTAAAATATGAGCTTCATAGAAGATTTGGAGGTTCTCTGTGTGATTTGAAGCTGGAATTGAGGGGCTAAATTGTTCCTAATGCTTGATTATTATTGGGAAACGGATTAGAGCAAGAAATTGAAACCACCATTATTGAGCAGCTTTGAAGTTTTGAAGTGGGTTTGAATAGAACTCAAATTTTTATGTTTGAAATCAATTTTAGGTATTGTCAAGTATACTTGGTATTGAGTAGAAGAACTTGTCTCTAAATTTTGAGAGCATTTGGATTGATTTGGTTCAGATTAAATCGAGTTTTGGACAAGAAAAAAATGGTGCGGCTACTGAACTAAGTCAAAGAAAATTCGGGTTAATAATTTGTTTGTTTTATCTCAAAGTGGGGGAAAATGGATAATGGCTAAAAACTCATGGGCGGATGAAGGTGATTCTTTTTATTTTCGAGAGCAGAAACCAGATGATATTCTTTGGTGGTTGAAAATGGATGTTACTTTAATGGTGAATTTGTTTTGGATTGAAAGAGGAAGATGAAGGTCATGGAGTCTGGTGTGTGATGATAAGGTTAATTTTAACGTGGGACTTGCTGATATGGCAGCTGATGTGGACAAATTAATAGAGGGATTGGGTGCCACGGTGGAGGGACATTAGGGTTAAGGGTAATTCTAGAAAGTTTGTTAACGGTAGGTGGATCTGAACGAAAAGTATAACGGGGGATAAACTTAAACTATATACCATAGTAGAGGGAGAATTTTGGACCTTCTCCCTATAAACAATAACCTCCCAGCAAGGGAATCAACAATATAAACAATAACCTGCGACAAGGGAATCAACAATATGAACAATAACATCACGACAAGGGAATCAGCTATAACCAATTCCGTTCCAACAGTTACTTCACAAAACAAATCCCAACTTGAGCCAATACTCAACAATGGTCAATTACCAAGGATTTAACATGAATTATGTTCAACATTTATAAGCATCAACCTAAGCATGGACAATACACAATAGAGTCACAACAATCATGGTATTAGACTCGCGGGCATGCTTGACACCAACGTATAGATACTCGTCACCATTCCTATACATTGTACTCAAGACTAACACGTAGAAATTAAGACCACAACTCCTATTCTCTCAAGCTAAGGGTAGACCAAACACTTACCTCAATTCCACGGACAAAAATCAAGCCTCAATTACCGCTTTACCTCTCGGTTCCACTTCCAATTCGATTGTATCTAGTCATAATTTACATAATAACATCAATAAATGCTCAATAAACCAATTCTAATGCATACAAATAGATTTCCCAATGATTTCCCCAAAAAATCAAAACTCGACCCCGGGCCCGCTTGGTCAAAACTCGAGGTTCGAACCAAAATCCGATCACCCATTCACCCACGAACTCAAATATGCAATTAGTTTTGAAATCAGACCCCAAATCGAGGTCCAAATCCCCAAAATTCAAAAATCCTAATTTCTACCCAAGAACACCCAATTTCCCATGAAAAACCCTAGATTTTGAAGTGAAATCATGTAAAAAGATGAAATAGATTGAAGAAGATGAGTCAGAAATCATTTACCTATGATTTATGGAAGAACTTGCTATTGAAAAATCGCCCTTAGGAGTTTAGGTTTTAAAATTTTGAAGAATGATATGAAAATCCCGTCTGAAACCCCACTTACCAGGTGCAGTTATCGCAGTTGCGACCAGGGATTCGCAATTGTGAACCATTTGAAATCCTGCTATCTTCGCATTTGCGAAGAAAACGTCACATTTCCGATGTAAGGGCCCCTCGCATTTTCCAGCCTAGAGTTCGCATTTGCGATGAGGGCCTACCCAAGCCTGGTTAGCATTTACGACACAGGGGTCGCATTTCCCAGGCCTGACCACTTCGCAATTGCGAAGCCTGATCTCGCAATTGCGAGATCAGAGGCCTGTGCAAAAATACCAGATGCACAGCTGCATTTTCCTAAGTCCAAATCACCCCGTGGCCTATCCAAAACTCACCCGTGCCCCCGGGGCTCCAAACTAAACATGCACGCAAGTCTAAAAATATCATACGGACTTGCTCGTGCAATCAAATCATTAAATTAACATCAACAACTATGAATTTAGCACCAAAATTCATAAAATTCTCAAGAACATTGAAATTTCCATTTTCTCAACTATGGGTCCGATTTATATCAAATCAACTCCGATTCTTACCAAATTTCACAGGTTCGACTTAAATATTATTTTAAACTTGTACCGGGCTCCGGAACCAAAATACGGGCCCGCTACTATCAAGAACACACACCATTTCATTTCCAAAAGTCGTTATATTTTACAGCAAACAATTTTCTTTAAAAATTCTTTTCTCGGGTTAGGGACCTCAGAATTCGATTCCGGGCATACGCCCAAGTCCCATATTTTACTACGGACCCTAGGGGACCGTCGGAACACGGGTCCGGGTCCATTTACCCAAAATGCTGACCAAAGTCAACTTAATTCCATTTTAAAGGCAAAACTTAGCATTTTTCTCAAACTTTCACATAAGGGCTTTCCGGATATATGCCCAAACTGCGCACGCAAACCGAGGTGAAACAAAAAGAGGTTTTAAGGCCTCGGAACACATATTTGACTTCTAAAACACGAGATGACCTATTGGGTCATCACATTCTCCACCTCTAAAACAACCGTTCGTCCTTGAACTGACATAGAAAAGTACCTGAGTCGGGGAAATGATGGGGATATCGGCTCCGCATATCGGACTCGGACTCCTAGGTCGCTGCCTCAACAGGCCGACCTCTCCACTACACACGAACTGAAGGGAAATTCTTCGATCTCAACTGGCGAACCAGTAGGTCTAGAATAGCTACCGGCTCCTCCTCGTAGGTCAAGTCCTTGTCCAACTGGACAGTGCTGAAGTCTAACACGTGGGATGGATCGTCGTGATACTTTCGAAGCATGGACACATGAAATACTGGATGCACAGCTGATAAACTCGGCGACAACGCAAGTCTGTAAGCCACCTATCCCACTCGATCAAGAATCTCAAAAGGACCGATAAACCTAGGGCTTAGCTTGCCCTTCTTTCCAAATCTCATCACGCCCTTCACGGGCGACACCCGAAGCAATACTCGCTCTCCGACAATGAACGCCACATCGAGAACCTTACGGTCGGCATAACTCTTTTGCTTGGACTGAGCTGTACGAAGCCTATCCTGAATTATCTTAACCTTGTCCAAGGGATCCTGTACCAAATCCGTACCCAACAACCGAGCCTCCCCCGGCTCAAACCACCCAACTGGCGATCGACATCGTCTACCATATAATTCCTCATTGGGAGCCATCTGGATGCTCGACTGATAGTTGTTGTTGTAGGCAAGCTCCGCTAATGGCAAGAACTGATCCCACGAACCTCCAAAGTCAATAACACATGCTCGGAGC